CGGGGACACCTGCGGCGACACCCGCCGGGGCCGGCACCTGCCGGGGTACGCCCCAACCGGGTGACACCCCCGGGGTGCGTTCCCTATCGCCATGGACCTGCCGGGGGTGACACTCTTCCCCAGTGACACCTTCGGGGTGAAATCCCTATCGCCATGTACCTGCTAGAGGTGACACCCTCCGGAGACACCTTCGGAGTGCATTCCCTATTGCCATGTACCTGATGGGGGTGACACTCTTCCCCAGTGACACCTCCGGGGTGCGTTCCCTATTGCCATGTACCTGCCGGGGGTGACACTCTTCCCCAGTGACACCTTCGAGGTGAAATCCCTATTGCCATGTACCTGCTAGAGGTGACACCCTCCGGAGACACTGTTCGGGGTGCATTCCCTATTGCCATGTACCTGATGGGGGTGACACCCTCCGGTGACACTGTTCGGGGTGAATTCCCTATTGCCATGTACCTGATGGGGGTGACACCCTCCGGTGACACTGTTCGGGGGGTGCATTCTCTGTTCCCACCCACCTTTTGGGGGTGACACACCTTCGGAGCAGTGTCTGCCACAAGGGACATCGTCCTCCGGTGGCACTGACCTCCCTGTGCACCTTCACTTGCCGTGCACCTGTCTGGGGGGTGACAGCCTCCTTTGGTGGCACTGTGCTCGGGGTACAGCCTCCTTGCGTGCACTGACACCCTCCTCGGGGTGATGCCACCCTCAGGCTCCTCCCTCCTTGGGGGTACACCTGTCTGATGTGGGGACATGGCCCTTAAAGCACATCCTCCTTTTGGGGCACCCTCCTTGTGGTGTGCCTGGCTTGGTGTGCCACATGTCAGAGAGGTGCTGGTGGCACCCCCTCCTTGGGGTGACCCCTCCTTGGAGTGACCCCTCCTTGGAGTGACCCCTCCTTGGAGTGACCCCTCCTTGGAGTGACACCTTCCTGAGTGTCACAGTGTCCTGGAGGTGCACCCTTCTCTGCCTCTGAGGGATGTCACAGCTGCCTGTCAGAGGGTGGCACTGTCCTTGGGGTATATCCTGCTTTTGATGCTGCTCCCTTGGGTTGATTGCTCCTTTTGGTGACCCTGCTCACCAGCCAGGGGAGCTGCTTTTGGCCCAAAGATCAAATCCCCACAGGAGGGATGCTGGGTGTGAGGGGCAGGGCTCCAAATGCACCCTCTGTGCCCTGGGCTGGCAGACAAGGTGCACTCCATGGAAAGTTTCAGCCAGAATCCCAAAAGATTTAATAGTGAAAGCAGGATGTTCTCTCTCATTTCCCACACAGAACATAAACTTTGTCTAGACAACATGAATTGTTTGCATTTAAAAAAAATAAAAAAAATAAGAGAAGAATGGCTGCTCATCCCAAGAAAGTAGCATGATTGAACACCAAAATTTGCACCTAGGAAAGCGGTCCTGCCACATTTTTATAGTGTTAATTTGTAGCTCTGTGTTTCTCATTGAGCTGCCCCAAGTAGCAGCAGGCAGTCACAAATGCAATCTGTGCTCCAAGGTAATAAAGAGCTGTTTGGGAAGCTGGAACAGTGTGTGTAAACACAAGGTCCCTGATAAAATAATGACCAGCCTATGCTACTGTGCTATCATAAATAATAAAATGGCAACTTAATTCAAGAAATCCAATAACATAAATAACTAAAATAACAAGCTGGGGGTAGAACAGGAAGGTTGCTGTAACACAAAACTGTTTGTAGCATAATGAAACCATCTCTGTTCAACCAGAACAATTGATGTACGTGAAGGCATAAGAGAAACAGCTTTTACAAACAATAAACTTTGGATAAGATAGCAAAGCTACAATCTCCTGGAATGCCTGAGAAAGCTCTGCCTTCTTCAGGCAGCTGCAAGGTTGTCAGCCCATGCAAGCCTTTACCCTGCAAGCTCTGGGCAGCTCTGCTCTGTCTTTGGGGTTTGTTTGATCTCCCCTTCCAGTCCTGGCAAGCCCTGGCTCTGCATGAATGAAACACCACACAAAGAGGTGTGAGCTCGAGTGCTGTTTGCTTCATGGTTAAACTAATATGTTTAACAAGAGCTGCTGCATGGAGATGCCCTGTTCTGCTGTCCTGCTTGTTTCCTGGAAGCTGGCCACTAAATCTTAGAGCAAGATGATGTCATGAGTGTTTCCACTGCCTGTTGACACACAGAAGCTGTCTACTAGAAACATCAAATTAATATTAATCAGGTTTTTAACTTACAGGACATATTTTGGGGGCTTAAGGTTTACAAGAGCCTCATGGAAAGGCCTTTTCTTGGCAGCAAGGATGTCCCCAGGTGGGTCAGTGCCTTCCACCCTCTCCACTGTTGGTGAGAGCTGAGAGCAGAGCCTGGGATGCTCCTGGAAAGCAGTGCCAGGGCTCAGGCTTGAGAAGGTTTACTTCATTTCCCTCTGGCTTTTAAGAATATACATATATGTGTGTGTACCTCCTTGGCAGCCACGGGGGAAGGGAGCTGTGCTGGCAGGCAGGAGCTGAAGGGTCTCGAGGAAAAGGCTGGGTGGGGCGTGTTGCTAGGAGATGGAGACTCCAGTGTCTGGCAAAGTGGCATTTTTATTTTTGGTGCAGATCACACAAAATGGTATTTGACTGTGAAGCAGGGTAGAAATCTCCTCTCCCTGCTTACATTCATCTCTGAATGATCTGTTCTGTGTAGTAGCGTTGTAGCTCATTTAAAACACAAATCAAATGTAGACTGTATGGTGTTCAGTCCAGCTGGAGGCTGAGTGTTTGCAATCCCCAGGAATTTTTTCTTTTTCTATTTTCTTTTTCCCTGCTCATTGAGAAATCCCTTGTCTGAGCAGCAGGATATATGTCTCTCTTTAGGGGAGGGCATCCTCACATGCCTCTGGTTCCTTTGTGGATGGTTGCCTCTTGTTTTTTCAGACACTGCGAGTTAGCAGTCAGGTTTTCTGGGTTTGGGCTTATTAAATACATCCTGCCAGGGCTTCTTCTCTCCTCCTTTGCTGCCTGTGCCTTGTTACACCCCTTTTTACACCCCCGTTCCAGCCACCCCCCCATCCCACCCTCCTCACAGACAGGGACTGTGTGATGGCACAGGAAAAGCTGCCATGGAATACCTGGCCCTTCCCTCTCCCTGGTCTGGAGAAATGAGGTCTGAGTGCTAAAACATGGGGATTTTTTTTGCAGCCTTTTGTGGGATGCAGGAGTCCTGGGCAGAAACACTTGCAGTTCCCACAGAGGCTTTGGCTCATGCTCACATTTTGCTGGTGCTCCTCTCTGGCACCAAACTGCCTTCACTGGGTATTCCAAGGGATTGTTTTTGGAAATGCAGGGCTAAGCAGCAGGATGCTGAAGGGCTGGGAGGCCACTGGTTCCAGTCACCATCATGAACCTACAGAAGGGTTTGTAACTGGGCATCTCCACTTGTGTCCAGCCTCCCACCTCAGCACCCTGCCCCTGTCACCACATTGAGGTGCTGCATTTTTCCAGTTCAATTTGACCAAAAATAAGTGCCAGGGATGCTGTGCATCTGTTAACACAAAAGCTCAACTTCTGGGGCATGCTATGCAACCCTTGTAAGTGCCCTAAATCTGTGGATTTTCAGTAGGATTTGCATTTCCAGTCTGTTTTGGGAGGGGATAGTTAATGAGATAATGCAGCAGTGGGTAAACTGTGACACGTGAAATGGAGTTTTTTTGAATGTTGGAGAAACTGCATGGGGTTATTAAAATTATTGGTTATTCAAACACAAT